CCCAACACTACTATAAACAAAAGGGGAGAAAGATGTGGTAAGATCTTTTTGCCAAAACAGGCATCCATTAATAGACCTAATCAGAAATACGCCTTTGCTTCTCAGTAAATGTGCGCCAGATAATTCTTCCCGGATAGAACACACACCCTGTGGTTGCTGCATCCTTTACCTGCGTTTAGGCAAAGCCTACAAGCAATAGCAGATATTGGAGGAACCGATACCCCCACCCATCCAAAAAGTCTTCATCCAGCCCTACTCTGAAATGAGTGGGGGTGAGAAACTGTTAAATGTGCAAGGGCAACACAATTAACTAGAAAGTCAAGGTTTTAAATGGTGTGTGTGTAGCTGGTGCTCTTTAAATCTTGTTCCTTCATTATTAACTGATCCACATTGCTTGTGGCTCAGGGCCTGAAATAGTATTCCATATGATGGTTGCACATCTGCAAACATTCCAGGGCGGAAAACCCAGTAGAAATAAGCATCACACACACACACCCTAAATTCAAATTGGGAAATGCACCCTCTAGCGTACATTTCTAACAGATGAGAAAGTCCATTTGCTCACATTCTGCAGGATAGATATAGATCTGTTGTTGTTCAGTCGCACAGTCGAGTCCGACTCTTTGCGACTCCATGGACTACATCACGCCAGGCCCTCCTGTCTTCCCCCATATAGAAATAGATATATAGATATAGCCTCGAAAACAGGGTAACTTGACAGAAAGTATGCAATTACGCTCTGAGCTCCTGGAAGCCCCGTTACCCGGGTGACAGAGGAGCCGCCGGCACCTTTAAGAAACTTCCCTGCTTTGCAGCAAAGCTTACCTGCGATCCGCCTGGGTGGGCGGCCAGGCTTCGCCCCGTCCCCCCACCCGCCCGCCCGCTAAGTGTACCAGGCAGCACCCACTGCCATTGTCCCTCGCGCTCGGGGGGGTTAAAAGCAGCCTCCGAGTAGGAGGTGTATCCTAGGAAACGGAAAAGCCGCTTTGTGACGCGCCGTGCGGCGGCCAGTTCTCTCCACCCCCACCTGTGACCCAGACAAAGAAGATCGCTCTTTTCCCACGAGCCCGAAGGTAGCGGGGCTCTCTCTACCAGCCCGCCCCAGCCACGCACTCCGAGAGGCCCCCTGTCGGCTATGTCAAGGTTGGGGAGCTCAAGCGGCGCTTCCCGTAACAGTTGCAAGAAAAGGAGGCGGTGGTCGCTGGCCCTCTAGTGCATTCCATAGAGTTTCGATTTCAACGATAAGCAAGGCTTCGTTGCGGAAAGGTGGGCGGGCACATGTGCGTGTTAAGGAAAAACAGCTCCAGAACTCTGGCGCTCCCCTCAACTCTGCAAAAATTTCGTTCTAAACTAGGCTTAGGGTATAATCAAGTTCTCATTCAAGAAAGCGACACACATCTGCTGGATTGATTTCTCAATATACTTGGGCGTTTTCTCCAATCAGCATCAAATACTCCAGATTGAGTCTGTATTTAGAACCCAGGCTCTTAAATCAGGCTCTCTGGCAGACAAATGTTGTGAACGGTCTAACAAGAAAAAGCATTCTAACGACCCAGCAACAGTTGCTGGCAACCTCTGTTTTGCAATATCTACTATACAGATATGCAGTCTTCAGAACTGAATGTTTATTTCTGTTCAAGGTCTATTTCCTTAATGGAATGACAAAATTAATGTGAAGTTAACAGGGAATATATAATAATTAACATAATCAAAATCGGAGAGCAGGTTTCAACATAGCCTCGCAAACCAATACTGTTAACAAAATACTAGACATGCAGAGACTATTCTCACCACTGGTTCTTCATAACTAAAGTTTCAAACTTGGCAGGTGTTTAAACTTTGCTTTTTATCATGTCACAATTACCTGTGTGTAAAGTGCCATCAACTCACAGCGAACCTATGGTGACCCCACTGGGTTTTTAAAACAAGTGATTAAGCAGAGGTGGTTTGCCATTATCATCTCCCATCCAAGTACCAACCCAGCTTAGCTTCCGATCTGATGAGAGCGGGCTATACTTCACCATTCCATATCACATCACACTCACAGTAGAGGTTAAATACTGGCAACTCCACAGAAGTCTTGAGATAAGCTAATGAGTGCTTATTGAATCTAGCCCCAGTGAGGTTGTAGTGCTTAGAGTGCTAAACTAGGAGCAGGGAAAGTTGGGTTCAAGTCACCACTGCCCTGAACTTATTGGGTGTCCCTTGGGCCAGCCATTCTCTCCCAGGGCTGTTATTGTCTTAAAAATACAGTGAATGCAGAAGTGGGTCCCACTTCAAGTTTGATAATCTCTGTTGTAATTCATGTTGGAAACCTGCTGCCAGCCATGCCATTGTTAAAGACACAGTGTCAAGAAAAATGGTGGCAACCCT